AAAGCTTGCGTGCCCCAATTTTCTGTGCCACAGTTCAACATCATCATCAACAGCTTTTAGACAACTCAGATTACCACTTTGTAAGGATTCGAAATCATCAACATAGATGTTCTTGTATCTCTTGGCCACAAGTACCACTTCACCGGTTACCAGATCAGTAACTGTACATATCTTGGACAAGAATTCCACCTTGTTTCCTTTATCACAGATCTGGGAGACACTCAAGAGACTGCACTTAAGGCCGTTGACATAGTACACATTTTCAATAGAATGAGTGAGTGACTTTCCGACTTTTCCAACTCCAAGAATGTACCTCTTTTTCCCATTGCCAAAGTATACACTCCCTCCTTGCAAGGCTTTTAGTGAAAGAAAGTCCATGGTGTTCCCAGTCATGTGCTTTGAACACCCACTATCCATGAACCATTGTTGACCGCTTTCTTTCACTTTTCCCTGCACAAAAAGATCAAGAGTTAGTTTTAGGAACCCAAGCAAGTTTGGGTCCCTTGTAGTAAGAAAGAGGATGAATAAGAGCTCTTTTAGTCCATGCGGGTAATATGCGTTTTTTGAGTGGAACCTGGTCCCTCTTTTGTAGTCACTTTTTCAGCAAACACTTTGTTTTTCTGAACAGATTGAACCCTGGCCTGACAATTTTCTTTGAAGTGCCCATTGTTCCCACAGTGGGTACAAAGCCAGTTATCAGGAACAGTGACGTAATTGGTGTGAGGATTGTAAGGAGTTTTCTCCCTTTGGAACCCTATTCCCTTCCTGTTTCCACCATTATTAGTGTACATGGCAGTTATAGCTTCTGAGGGCCAGGTCCACTTTAGGGACTTTTCAAGATCAATTTTTACTCTTTCCAGTTCAGTTTGGAGGTGCTTGTTTTTCTCAGTTTCAACACACATCCTAGTTCTCACAGCTTTCAACTCATTTTCAAGCCTAATGTGTTCCTCACTGGCTATCTCTTTTTCTTTTCCAGTATTTCCAGGTTTAGACTTAGTTCCTAGTCCTTCCATTGTTTCCCTAAGGTCTGCAATTTCTACCAAGAGATCATCTCTTGTTTTATCAGCTTCCCCTAGTTCTAAGATCAGGTCATCCTTATCCTCCACAAGGTTATGATAGGCATCAATCAATACATTAGCTAAAGACATAAGTTTCTTAGGAGAGTAGGATTTCAGATTTCTCTGAACATCCCTGAAATTTACCTCTTTGTCGTCATCGTCTTCATCATCATCTGATTGGGCCATCAAAGCAAAAGTTGAGTCATATTCATTTTCCTCGCTTTCAACTGCCATCATGGAACTATCGCTAGCATCAGTTTCATCTTCTGACTCACTAGAGGAATCCCACCATGCAGCAAGAGCCTGTTTCATCCCATGGTCAGCAGATCTCTTTCTTTTGAAGTTCTTGAGAGGAACCGGGTTCCTCTTAGCTGCTTTCTCAGGGTTGTACTTGGAGAAATCTTGCTTCAAGAGAGGACAATCTTTGATGAAGTGTCCAGGCTTTCCACACTTATGACAGAGATCATAGTTTTTTGGTTTGCTAGAGCTGCCCCTTTTTAGCATTTCTCCATTTCTTCTGACCATCTTCTGAAATCTTTTGGTTAAGTAAGCCATGTCACCGTCTTCCTCACTTGAGTGCTATTAGCTTTGATTACCAGGTTCTTTTCTTTCTTTGATTCTCTTCTTTCACTGTCTATCTTCCTCTTCATCTCGTAGGTCTTCAGATTTCCAACCAGCTCTTCTGTGGTCAGCTCCTGCAAGTCCTTTGACTCAGTAATAACATTCACCTTGCTTTCCCATGGACTAGGCAGAATACTGAGGATTTTCCTCACTAGCTTGTTCCTAGGAATGGTTTCACCAAGTGAGTGTAACTCATTTATGATGGAAGTGGATCTTGTGTGCATATCTTGAATAGATTCATCGTCCTTCATCCTGAAGAGTTCATACTCGGTAGTAAGCATATCAATCTTAGATTGTTTTACTTGGGTGGTTCCCTCATGAGCTGTTTGCAAAGCTTCCCATATCTCCGTGGCAGTTGGTCACGCCCAACTATGCCTTATAAAAAGGATACGCGGACGTTGCAAATACAATCTGGGTATTTAGCCCAAAGTCGAACCCACAAGGAATTAACCTATCAATTACTTTCGTTAGATGTACTAAACTCTACGGAATCAACTTCCCAAACATTGTCAATAACAATTGATGGTATCTCTACTAACTAAGAATGAATGTAATTAAACAGCTTAAAAATAACTATGATTTAGTTGTAACAATTAAGAGAAGGTTCTAAGGCTATAATTTCCCCTATTGATGGAATCCCTTCAGGTTATGCTTAATATAGAATCACCAAATCATCTCTATCAATCATGAGCACTCCTCTTACCGTAAATCTCTCCCGAGTAATCACGATAATTTACCAGACGCACTCTCCCGAGATACGCTAGCGGGCTTTGTTTATTACAACTCACTTTAGATTGCACCCAAGGCTTCATTATTCCTAATCCCGCCTTTAAACCCACAATTATTGATCCCTCATATATTTTGGGAGTGGTGTTGTTCAACAATTACCTAAATATGCACTCTCTCCCGAGTTATGCACATTAAATAGGCACAGCTAATTGATGATCCTGTCAATTAACTACAACAAGCATGTAGTTGAACAAATAGAGATTAAAATGACAAACTATATTAACACAATCAAGAACTTCATACTTCAATAGGTTCCATCAAACCTTAGAATAAATATTTAGCTACTCATACTAGTGTTCATCACTACAATAATCAAATTCATCACAAATCATAAAAACAAAAGGAAGAAATGAAGAACTTGATGTTGAATCCTCCTCCTTGCCTCTTGCCTCTCCTTTTCTTGCACTAAGCTATCAAAAGCTGCATAATACCTCATTGGGCGAGCTTGACCTTCTATAGGTTAAGTGAATTTCCCCCCAGACTTCCAAGTTTACCCCTGAAAATTAGTCTTCCGGAACTGGACTAGCGCGGCCGCGCTAGTGGACTAACATTCTGCCTCGACCATCTGGGCTAGCGCAGTCGCGCTAGTGGACGCTCTAGTCTAGGCCTGCATTTCATCTGTTCTTTTCCTCGTCTTCTCGCGTGCTCAGCTCCAAGGGGTTTTGTTCTTGCTTCAATGTAACTCCAATCACAGCTATAAAGCCTCATCCAAGCTCCTCACTCCTGAAACATGTGAAATTCACAATTATAGCCCATTTTTCATCATTTAACTATATTATAACATTGAAACATGATAAAGCTGGGGTAAAAACAATCGCCAAATTATATAAATCTAGCCTATTATCAGCAGTGTCACAGACGAAGATTCTATTGTATTCTTCAGGTCCTATTCCAAATACCAGAATCTTCTTGGCATTCTTCTCCACAGCTTTCCTGTTCGCGTCGGTGTATTCTTTACTGGTTTTTGGCATTGAAAATGAAGTTCTTCCAGTACCTTTGTTGGAACATAAGTACCGTTACATATGACATCCCATAACTCAGAATCCTCAGCCATGATAAAATCATGCATTCTTGTTTTCCACCACCCATAGTATTGTCCATTAAATCTGGGTGGTCGGCATGTAGATTGACCTTCTTCAAAATTTGGTGGAGCAGCCATAAGGTTCCTTCCTAAGTGTTAGCCTGATAGGAGAAACCCGCTCTGATACCAATTGTTAGTTTGTATGAGTCTACCAAACAGTAGAGTACCTGGTCCTCTATGAGGTTGTACTGAGAATGCTAATAAAACAGTAAGTAAATAAGACACGAGATTTTTACGTGGAAAAATCCCAACTCAAGGGACAAAAACCACAACCTACACCTGTAGGCTTTCAACTTCACTAACTTGTAAACACCTATTACAAGCCACTTTGTAATGACTCCATTATAAAGAATTCAACTTAACTAACTTGTGATACTCTTACGACAAGCCACTTTGTCACTCTCTAATTACAAAGAATTTAACTTATGACTAAACCTAGTCACAACAAAAACACAGAGAGTTTACGGATTTTACAATAGGGTTCCTAATCAACGCTTCTTGCTAAGCAACTTAGGAGATACAATAAGAACAATCACAAAGTTACAACACAACTAAGGACAACAAAATACTAACTTTAGGAACTGGTCCGTAGTAGCGTTTAACTTTGTTCTTCAAGCTCGTGAGAATTAATTTCTCTGTTTTCCAAAAGGCTTGAATGAGAAACTGAAGTGTTCAAGTGATGTTTTGATATAACTCATTGTTGATACACGTTGATGACATCACTTGAAATGATGTAAGCACTTTAGTTGGTCAAAGAATAAGTGACCACCGGAAACAGTGCAGTGCAGGCAGAAATAGTGCAGGCAGTCACGCCGCTTCTAGCTGTGTCCCATTGACTTCGTACTGCTATGAGGGAACCACAAGGGTATCAGGTCCTTGTTTGATTCTCTATCCCCTGAAGCTATAGCAGTTCACATTTAGCTGGAATCCATTAACTTGCAGTGTAGCCCAAGTGTGTCAGGTTCCCCATCTGGTCCTTGACAAAGTTTGTTAGATCATCAAAACATAAGTCAAAGACATTGAAAACCTATCAATAAATTAATGCAGCAACCATTATTCCATTGGCCTGATTGACGAAGATGGAGCCTTGATGGAGGGTTCCCTACAAGTGACCTCCTAGTCGAAAAGATATCTCTCTTTTTTGAGAATTTATGTGAGAGAGCAAAGGTGTCTGGTTGTTCCCTCTGAATTGCAACTGGACAGTGATGTGAATCATGTTTTTTCAATTATTTACTGCTCCTTCCCTCCAGGTTGCACAAAATACTCCTTACTTTTTTTGTCCACCACTATCTTCTTACTCTTCTCCTTGGAAGAGTGAGTAAATACATGGCGTTTTAAGTTTTTTCTTGTGGTTTGCCAAGTAAACTCAGTATGATTAGCCTAAATTTCTTGTAAACCCAATATGAGTCTTAGAATTCATTTAGGTATATCCGTGGAATTGTTAATTTAGTGCTTTTCATGAAACCTTTTTTCCCCCTTTTCTTTTCCCTGGATAACTTAGGTTGGGGTTCACAAATACCCTTTTCTAGGTTTGTATTGAATACTAAGTTGTGTAACTGTTTCTTATGCGTTTTGTATCTTTTTTCTTTTTTTGGAGAGTTTGACATCTGTTATTTGCTTTCTTGCTCTCCTTTCAGTTGATACTGACAAGGTCTTACAGTTAAATGTCCCATCAAATAGCAAAGAACTAAGTACTGAAGTTAAAAAAGATTTGGCTGCTGAAGCGCATCCAAGCTCATACACATCATTAGCAAAAGATGATTTGAAGAATAGTGATTCTTCCTCGAAAACTAGGGGAAATGATGGTGTTACAAGCAGCTTGAACATGTCTATATCATCAAAGCCTTGCAGTGTGGATACTGGAAAGAGTGACAGTGCAACATCAAGCTCAAAGAATAAGCCTCAGAAAAGTGTACAACCTCCTCGAATAAAAGATAACTTCAACCAGCTAAATCTTGCAATTGTAAGTCCTTCGTTTACATTTTCTTGATTTAATATATATTACACTGCTTTTTAGTTGCAAAATTTTCAATATGTAGGTTGGCCATGTGGATTCTGGGAAGTCAACGCTGTCAGGAAGGTTGCTACATCTTTTGGGGCGGATATCCCAGAAAGAAATGCACAAATATGAAAAAGAGGCCAAGCTACAAGTGAATATTCTTCATCCTTTTTGTATGATATTTCCAAATTTTTACAAGTTTATTGACAAGTCTATTGTCTATTTAATCAGGGAAAAGGGTCGTTTGCTTACGCTTGGGCATTGGATGAGAGTGCTGAAGAAAGAGAGAGGGGAATAACTATGACAGTGGGCGTTGCCTACTTCAACACAAAATGTTACCGTGTTGTTCTGCTTGATTCCCCAGGTCACAGGGACTTTGTCCCAAATATGATATCAGGGGCAACACAAGCAGATGCAGCAATTCTTGTAATTGATGCTTCAGTAGGTGCATTTGAAGCAGGTATTGATGCTACTGGAGGTCAGACGAGGGAGCATGCACAACTTATCAAAAGCTTTGGGGTGGATCAGATTATAATTGCTGTTAACAAAATGGANCGAGGTACCCTTGTTGTCTTGATTCTTGACAAACTCATAAAGTATGAACAAGACTTTCAAAACTTGCAGGTTCCAAGGTCCTTGCCTATTGGATGCAATAGACTCTCTCCAACTTCCTCAAAGAGATTACTCGAAGCCATTCTTATTGCCGATTTGTGATGTTGTAAGGGCACAGTCTCAGGGACAAGTGTCAATATGCGGTAAGTTGGAGAGGGGAGCTCTTCAAACTGGGAATAAGGTACTGGAGACTAGTAAAAAATTCCTTTCTTGTACCCTTTCTTCCTCTAGGTAACAGATGCTTTTGGGTGTCATTTCTTACCTAATGGTTTATGTTTGCAAATTTGTTTTGACTTACTTGACAGACTAATATCTATGTATTTAACACCGAGTTGTGAACATGTCCAGGTTTTAGTTATGCCATCGAGAGAAATGGCAACAGTGCGTTCTTTGGAATGTGATTCTCAGGTTTGTAACAGTGCAAAAGCAGGAGACAGTGTCACTATCAACCTACAAGGTATTGATGCAAATCACGTGATGGAGGGGGGTGTCTTGTGCCACCCTGAATTTCCTGTTCCAGTTGCAAATCATTTGGAACTGAAGGTTCTCATCCTGGACAATTCCATTCCAATTTTAATTGGCTCTCAGGTACTACCATCCTTTAATGGATTGCTGCAGTGAAAATTTTCAGAGATTTCTGTGCCATGTCTAATGTATAGTCAATGATTATAGAGAACTTGATATCTGGAACTGTGCAGTTGGAATTTCTTGTACACCATGCTAAGGAGGCTGCAAGAGTTGTGAGGATTTTGTCATTGCTTGATCCAAAGACCGGAAAGGAGACCAAGAAATCACCTCGATGTCTTCTGGCAAAGCAGAATGCTATCATTGAGGTTTTTGACAAAAAAACTATCATGCTTATTTTGTGTATTTCCTTTTCTTTTCTTTGGGTGGGTTGAAGCAGGTATGTGCTTCTGCCTCCATGTGTAAGTTGAAAATCGGCTCATTAGTTTAACAGTAAAAAGATTACTCATCTCGATAAGCTTGTTTGTGATGATTTAGGTCGTTTTGCAAGGGATGGTTTGCATCGACGAGCATTCTAATTGTAAAGCTCTCGGAAGGGTGTCCCTCAGGTCATCTGGAAGAACCGTTGCTCTTGGTCTGGTGACTAGAATTATAGGGAAGAAGGAATAAAGAAACTTCCAATACCAGAATGAGAGCTTGTAAAGTGACGGGTACCTCCTTTTTCTCTTTGGGGCTGGTCAATCTTTACATGTACATTACAGTTATTCTGATAGGATTCCTTTTCTTGATATTTAGTTTCTTTCTTAATGTATTTATTTATGTATAATTTACTCGGAAAATTGTAAACGCAGTGCTTGTGAAAGGGACAACTTTGATTCTTTCTTTCTAATTAGGTGCACAAGTATCGTATGCGTTTTGGACAAGTTTTAATATTTGAGAACGTGTATAACTTTGTTTAGACAGAGGCTGGTAGGTCATTCTATTCCGTTCCACACTCTCTGCACAAGCTTTTTGCGTGCCTTAAATTATAAATTAATTTTTCCAAAGAGAGAAGTGTTATTTTCAATTCAGAGATTAAAAAAAAGGATATTGATTGTCCTTCTAGCCTCTTGAATACCATAGGAAATTGGTAATTTAAGTGGACTGCTGACTTATATCGATTCCAATGTTGACTTGGTGCGCTTTTTTTAGTAATTTACTAGTTCCGTATTTCGCCAGATAATAACCCGTTTGTTTGGGCAGTTTTGGGACCAAGAGAGTTGAATACATTTGGTAAATGAGATGCATTCTTCAGACCAAATGGAAAGTTTTATTTGTTCGAATTTCTTTTGTTTATTTTTGTCGTTTGCTAACGACAACTTTTAAAATAAAATAAAATTAAAACCAACTAAATTAGCACAAAATAAAATGGAAACTTGAAATAATGGTAAAATTGTTTTCATGTGACTTATAGTTGTAAAAACAATCATTAATGCTTCCATTAAGATAAACTGTTTGCATCATACCTCAAAGGGTGCGATCCTTCTCCGAATCCTGTATGAATATTGGGGATGTTTTGTGCACTGGACTGTCCATTTAACTAAATTAGCACAAAAGAGTTCATACCGACGAGTGCTCTCAACTCTGCAAAATTTAAGGTCAAATGGTTTAAAATGATGCAATTAACAGTAAACAAACCTCAAAAACTGCTAAAGTATATTCCCTAATTAAAATAAAAGGTAAAAATTGTACGGGGTGTTCTATTTGGTTGCCCCCATTTAATTTATACCCATTTTTTTTAAACTTTCAACTTGTACCAACTTTTTAAATAACTTTAGCCCCCTTTCTCCTCCTCCTTCTAACTTTTACCTTTTATGTAGTACGTATTTATTTTTGGTACTCAGCACACATTGAAACAATTTATGTTTGCTTTAAATGTACATATGTATTCTGTAATATAATACCTTTAAAGTTGTTGTTTTACTCATAATAAGAATTTATGCTAAATACACTTATATATTGATAGTTCTTTATATTTATCAAGTAGGTTTAGAAGGGAACTTGTTTAAAATAAAATTTGAATTCAAGAGTATTAATAATTCAGTAAGCAAGAAATAACTGGAGTTTAAAATTACAAAACGAAAGACAACAAAGCAGAAGCTGAAGAAGAAAGAAAAGACCTGGAACACACAAGCACTAGAAAGAAAAGAGAACTAAATAACTTCAGCTTCGACAGTTACAAAACAAAAACTTCAGCTCTAGAGCTGAAGTTATTAGTTCTCTTTTCTTTCTAGTTGATCAACCGCGAAACACCAAAAACAGTAGTGATTAGTTTCCCAGTTATAATAAAAAACTTCAGCTCTAGAACTGAAGTTTTCCAGTTACAACACAAAAACTTCAGCTCTAGAGCTGAAGTTTCCAAGTTACAACACAAAAACTTCAGCTCTAGAGCTGAAGTTTCCAAGTTACAACACAAAAACTTCAGCTCTAGAGCTGAAGCAACAAACAAAAACTTTCGGCAGTTACAAAACAAAAACTTCAGCTCTAGAGCTGAACTTCAGGCCCGGCTACTAGAATGCTGAAGTTTTGCGTGATTGCCTTTGCTACTTCAGCCTCGTATACTGAAGTTATGCGAAAAAGCGGGTACGCTTGTAATTTTTTTTGCAAAATGGACACAAGTTAAAACGTAACACAAAAAACGGTTATAGATGCAAATGCCCCAAATAAAAGTAATCAGCAATAAATTCTCATCCATTAAAAAGCTTTTTTGTTCCTCGTCCACACATCTTTCTACACTCGTCTTTTTTCATGACATAATACTTTTCTAATTTTGTGGGTATTATCTGACGGCCTGCTATAAAACGACAAAATCAGCCCTCCTTTTTAACCTTTAAACGCCATTATTTCAAACAAAGTAAATCCAACGTGGCTATATCTTTCGCCACGTGGGTCCGGGTCAACTCTGCTGAAAAGTACTCCACCAGTTCTCATCCACAACTAGGAATCCTTCCTTTCACCGTCGAACCAAATCTCCATCTAATTCCATTACACCTACTATTATTTATCATAAATAATTAATGTAATTTCTTCTACTAATTCCATTCTTATTTATGTGTACAAATATTTATAGTAAGTAATTAATTACGTATATAGATAAACAAAAATTAACTACGTATATATATGCACGTATAGTCAAGCACGTAGAGATTTCTGGAAAAGGATGCAAATTTCTTCCATAGTAGAAAATAACTTGCAACAGAATCTCTGAATTCACACAGAAAGAGGAGAGAAAATTTAGTGTGTGTGTGTGTGTGTTTTGTTGCTTTTTTTTTTCTCCCTGCGGAGGACCATAAGGATAAAAAGAGAAAGCAGAAAGAGTCATTTTTTTTGCACATTTAGACGTAGAGAGACAGAGAATTGTTGAGAATTTTGAAGAAATTAGGGTTAGGAACTGTAGAGAATGGCGGCTCAGGGAAGGGAAGGAGGTGGAGGAGTAGCGGTTTTATGTGGTGGTGCAGTCAATGCCGTGGATTCTTCTACGTCGGCTTCCAGCGGAGTTTTGGACAAGGAGAGTACAAAGCAGGATTTTCCTATTCTGTTTTTTCTCTTCTTTCACAAGGCAATTCGGCTGGAGCTTGACGCACTTCACCGTTCGGCTTTAGCATATGCTACTGGACAATTGGCCGACATACAGCCGTTGCTCAAGCGTTACCGTTTTCTTAGATCAGTTTACAAGCACCATTCCCATGCTGAGGATGAGGTCCGACTTTAACATCTCTATTTTTTTTGTCAGTTCCACTAGCATTTAATTTTTTTCGCTGCTCAAACGTAGTTGTAGCTTGTGACATTGTCTTCTCTGTATACGGAATTGCTAATTAAGTCATTATATTAAGCTAATTGCTAGTTGTTATAATCTCTTTTCATTTTCCGGTGGTGTGCTTCTTTTTCTGTTGAATCTATAGAGAGCTTCATGTTATTTCTTGCCCTGCTCTATGCGTCTCCCTATGACTAGTCCTCTGGTTACGTGTTTTTCTATTAATGTCTATCTGTTTTCTACTTGGCAAACACTATCATCTTAATGTAATCAATACTTATCACTCCATTTCCCGAATGAACTGTTAAGATATGAGTTGATGTTAATTCTTGGCACTTCTTATGACGGTCTTAGCTGCATTTCATGAAAGTTCTTTTTTGAGCAATCTGATTATAGCTAATGCTAAGTATGTTGTACCTTGTTTCATGAGGAAAAGAATCTTCAACAAGCCCAACAGACTGTTTTTACATTAAAGCAATCCCTTTATCAGGCCAATATGGCAATTAGAATATAAATTCCATACTTCTTCTACTGAAAATTAAGGGTTGACATCTTGTTGGGATAGATTGACCTAGTTTATATGTTGTATGCCATGATTTTCTAATGGTTAAAATAGTGAACCTGGGTGCTAGTTATTGCCAATTTTGTGTACTTCCATTTGGTAGTCTGTTTGATTCTTTTTTTTTTTAAAGATTAAGCAATATTGGCTTGGTATATTGAGGTTAATGTCAAAGTCCTGTTTAGATATGTAGATTCCATCTATATGACACTCACCCCATACTGTTTAATTTCCAAAGTATTTGTCTGGTCATTTGTAGTCTTTGTTTAATATGGCTTGTACATTCTAAAAGAAGTAGGGGAAGTTATGGAAATTTGGAGGGAAGAGAGAATAGAGATTAGGAAGGACGCGATTTGGAAGACAACACTCTTTGTGCATTTTGGATCATTTGGCAAGAAAGAAAATGAAGACTTTTGAACGAGTAGGAAGACCAACATAAAAATTGAACGAGGTCTTTTGTTTCGACTGTACTTCTGGAGTAAATGTTCCATTTTCTATAGACAGTTGGGTGATTTTCTGGATACTTAATGGCATACTTCTTTGTAAAGTTGACATCATCTTGGTGTAACATGTGACGAAGTCATTGTAGATTATAAAAAAGGACTACCGTGGATGATTGAATTTCTTTTGTCATGCCTGATAAGCTGTTGAAACTTTAGTTTTCATAATATTGCAGTTGACATGTTTCTTAGTTTCATAGTTTGTTCTACTTTTATAAATGTCTCCTCGTGTGTTCCTTTGCTACAAATGATAGCATGATTATAACAATTGCAGGTGATCTTTCCAGCTCTTGATATACGTGTGAAGAATGTAGCACAAACATACTCCTTAGAGCATAAAGGTGAAAGTGATCTTTTCGACCACCTTTTTGAGCTCTTAAATTCTGAGAAGCATAACTATGAAAGTTTTCCACGAGAGCTGGCATCTTGTACTGGGGCATTGCAAACCTCTGTTTGTCAGCACATGTCGAAAGAGGAAGAACAGGTATTCTCCTAGGAAACATTGCTTAAGTTTCATGTTTAAGGATTCCACATCTTTCATGGACCATCTCAGTTGTTACGCCTGTTATTTGTTCCAAAATCAGAAACTATATTTGTTTTCCTGTGAGTGATGTTACAGTATATTTACTCTCCTAGTATGCAATTTCTTCCATGTCCTAATCTGTATTAGCCGCGAGATGACTTGAGCGGAGAAGCAATCTTAGTTATCAGAATTCTACCATAAAGAAGGCAAATCCCAACTTGTGTAGCCTTCGGAGGTGTGATGGCTTGTCTTGTGCTGGTGCTTTGGACACCTGACCGGTTTCAGCAGTAGTTTAATAGGGTTGGTCACCTAAATTTTGAATCAACTAGTGGATCATCAGCACAAGGGCACAACTCATTTTCAAAATGAGTTGGAGTTGGGGCAACCCATGCGTAACCTACACGAATTCTATACTCCTTTTATTGTTGGTTCTTCCCCTCAGTCTTAAAAGTAAGTTGAGGTGAAAAAGATCTCCTTAAATATTCCATATGGTACAAATTTGGTACTCCAAGTCTCCATTTTGACCGGTGAAGATGAAGAACGAGACAGACAAACAAAAAGGCCGGAGTACCTATTTTTTGTCATAGTTGCCTGATATTTGTTGAGGTTTCAAATAGATCTCCTGCTGTTGACTTTTCGTCATGAGCTTTTTACTTTATTTCTTTGAGTTTTTCCATCTAAAAAGAATCTAATTAAGACAAATTCCTAGAACAGTTTTATTACTATATCAAGTCTGAACTTGGATGAACATCTCTGTGTGCTTCCTTTTACACTTAGAGTTACTAAACTTCGTACGAGATCTGTATTGTTCTCCACTGATATGCCTTAAATTGCTTCGTTGCACTTAATTAAGTCAAGTTTGCAGATAGTGAGCTTTGTTGCTTCTCAGAACAGGTAGATATGTATGTTTTGTGTGGGACTGTTACTCTTTTGACATGTCACTGGCCTGAAAGGATTGATGACATTGTGGACTGGTTAGCCTAGTTTCTTCTTGTTTTTTCATTGCTTGGTTGCGTACAGAAGGGTTGGGTTTTCCCTAGAGTACACGTGTCTAGATATAGCTTGTGTAACATGACTGGTCAGTCGTTGGGTTATTAGGTTCTTTTGGGCTTCAAAGTAGCATAGTTCTTGTGTCCTGTGTGATGTCAGTTTTGATCTCATTAAATCAGAAGCAACCTTGAAAATCCATATAGTTTACATGTTTATTGACTCAAAACAAATGTTCCTGACAGGTATTTCCTTTGCTCATTGAGAAGTTCTCAAATGATGAGCAGGCATCACTTGTTTGGCAGTTCCTTTGTAGCATTCCTGTCAATATGATGAAAAAGTTCCTTCCTTGGCTTTCAGCTTCTATATCTCTTGATGAGCTCAAGAATATGCACAAGTGCTTGTCTATGATTATTCCAAAAGAGAAGCTTCTCCAGCAGGTTTTTTTTTTTTTTTTTTTTTTTTTTTTTCGTGTGTGTTTGTGTGCGTGTTAATGTGTAGATGCTAACCACATTTTTGCTCTCTCTCTCTCTCTCTCTCTGTGGGTGTGCGCGTTTGTCTTTCTCTGATTTTCCCTCTGAAAGTGTTGTTTGCTATGCTTCTTTCTTTTGAAGGTAATTTTCACCTGGATGGAAGGTGGAAAGTGTGTCACTGCAGTTAGTGGGCATGATATCGATGCTGAGCTGGAATGTTCTATGGATTTTAACTCTGTCACAGTCCCTTGTGCGTCAGGAAAGGTAAAGTGTGCATGTGAATCTTCCAGCACTGGGAAAAGGAAATTCGGGCTAAAAGGTGATACTTGTGATACTGATCGTGGAAACCCAATAGATGAAGTATTGCATTGGCATAATGCTATTAAGAGAGAGCTAGAGGAGATAGCAGCAGAGGCTAGAAGAATTGAGTTAGCTGGAGAATTTTCTAATTTGGCACCTTTCTATGTGAAACTTCAGTTTATCGCTGAAGTCTGCATATTTCACAGGTATTGGTCTATGAAAAATTTGTTTCATTAGTTAAAATATAGAAATTCGACAAAGATTATGAAATTAAAAAGGCAATTTTAAAATTTCACTGAAGATTCTATGTATTCCATGCTGTCGTTTTTATTTTAATCTCTTTTTAATGAAAAGGCATAGATATGTAATAGATGAGTCTTCTGGTCCTTTCATGATGATCTCTATTTCATCAAATCATATATGCTGCAAACTGACTTCTCTCTTTTTCTATACTTTTTGGCTTATACCAGATCACCTATTTGTTGCTTCTTGAAGCAACTATATCATTGACACTCTCCTTGAATGGATTTAGTCATAAAATTCTAATATGGTTTATTATTTTTTATGACTGCAAAGTAGAGATTTTGGGAAAAGAAAAGAAATTGTTTGTTGCCTATGAAGACATAAATTTACTTGTGTATAATGGGTCAAACTGATGGTTGATGTGTCACTGAAATAGTCTTAAAGAGTTTAGATGCTGGTCACAAACTGCCCTTTGGATGTCTTCTGTATGCTATATTGCTGAGGTAGTGGGACAAGAAAATTGCTGATTTCTGAAAGTTTCTTAACAGATTGTTAAATATTAGAGATCTTTAGTTATTTATCCCAAAAAAAGTGAAAGCACAATCCATTAGTTGCAAAACAAGAATTAAAAAAATAAGGTGGTTGCCAGATATTGGTAAAGTAATTCTTTTTGACCTTCTTCTTTTGAATAAGTTAATGGAGCTAATCTTGATCCTCTCTGACATTTTGGATCCTGTCCAACAGTTGCATAGCATTCTACTTGAGTTATAAATCCCGCACTATTAATCGTGCTTAATGTTAGAAACTGTAATATGGGCAATTACTGTTGCTGACATAAGAATTCACATCCACAACATCAAAAGCGGGCTTTATGTTCCTGTTTCAAACTGAAACTTTAACCTTTAGATTTACCTTATGGCAGTGTTGCCGAGGACAAGGTCATATTTCCTGCTGTAGATGGAGGACTCTCCTTTTTCCAAGAGCATGCTGAAGAAGAAAGTCAATTTAATGAGCTTCGTTGTCTGATTGAGAGCGTTCAAAGTACAGAAATCAGTTCCACTTCAGCTGCTGAGTTTTTCTCCAAATTATGTTCGCAAGCGGACTTAATTATTGAGACAATCAAATGGCACTTTTACAATGAAGAAGTTCAGGTGTGGGATTCATTATAAATTTATTGTTCTTGTTGAAATTATTAAAATTATTATGTGTCTCATTACCGATAAAAAGAGTTTTTATGTGTCTCATTGTACGTTACCATGGCCAAAGGTGAATAAAATTGCAAGGTGTAAGCCCCAAAAGTATGAACTGTCTCTGTTGGTTCAATAAGCTCCAGAATCTTGATCTGCTTACTGTTGATGGATTTCTCTTGGAGTCACGCCTACTTTCTAGTATAATTTTGTTAAGAGCTATTGCATGACTTCTACCGATGCCTGCGAAAATGTCCTTCAAAGCTAAAGCATATTTGTCTTGTCCTCCATCTCCAGGTCCTTCCGCTTGCTCGGAAGCATTTTACCCCGGACAGACAGAGGAAACTGTTGTACCAAAGCTTGTGTTTAATGCCATTGAAGTTGATAGAGCGAGTCCTACCCTGGCTAGTTGGATCACTGTCTGAAGATGAAGCCAGAAATTTCTTAAAAAATTTGCAGCTGGCAGGTATTCAGCCAAATAGTTTTGTTGCTAGAGCAGTTGATATGCCTGCACTTCTGTGTTTTTTACTGAATTATGGAATTGAATTCTGCCCTTGCAGCTTCAGCACATGATTCTGCTTTGGTAACCTTATTTGTTGGTTGGGCATGTAAAGGACGTACGGATGGTGTATGTTTGTCTTCTAGTGTCACTGGTTGCTGCCCTGTTAAAAGATTTACTGACATTGAAGAATCTTATATTCGAGCACCTTGTCTATGTTTACTCTCAGTCGATACTGATGATTCTAAGAGGCCTTCCAAAAGAAACCTTGCCGTAATTTGCACAAAAGAAAATACATCGAACTCATCTAAGGGTGTAAATGCTTGTAATATATCTTGCAATGATCAGCCATGCTGTGTTCCAGGATTGGGAGTCAGTGATAATAATCTCGGACGAACTATTATATCCACTCCAAAATCTCTTCGTTCGCTGACCTTCAGCTCTACCGCTCCTTCTCTTGATTCATGCCTCTTTATATGGGAGACAGATTGTATCTCTTCTCAACCCAACCATAAAGTGCATCCTATTGACACAATATTCAAATTTCACAAGGCGATACGAAAAGATTTGGAGTATCTTGATGTTGAATCTAGTAAGCTTAGTGACTGTGATGAAGCTTTTCTTCGGCAGTTCATTGGAAGATTCCGGTTGCTTTGGGGTTTGTACAGAGCCCACAGCAATGCTGAGGATGAAATCGTTTTCCCTGCACTTGAATCTAAAGAAGCACTCCACAATGTGTCTCACTCCTATACCTTAGACCATAAGCAGGAGGAAAAATTGTTTGAAGACATTTCATCTGCCCTCAATGATCTTTCGACTCTTCATGAAGGGCTGAAGGATGGCCCTATGGGCTTAAGTGATAGGGATCACATAAGGAAATACAATGAGCTTGCCACAAAGGTTCAAGGAATGTGTAAATCAATCAGAGTAAGCCTGGATCAACATATATTTAGAGAAGAACTTGAGTTGTGGCCACTGTTTGGCAAACATTTTTCTGTGGAGGAGCAAGACATCATTGTTGGTCGTATAATTGGAAGCACAGGAGCTGAAGTACTTCAATCAATGTTGCCCTGGGTAACTTCTGCTCTTACTCAGGATGAGCAGAATAAGATGATGGACACATTAAAGCAGGCTACTAAAAACACCATGTTCAGCGAATGGCTCAACGAGTGTTGGAGACGAACTCCTGAAATATCTGCACAGCCTGAAACCTTGCAAACTAGCAATACAAACCGAGGTTAATGTTATGCCCTCACTTTTTCTTTGTGTATCTCGCTCTTGGAACTGCAGTTTAGAGCTTAATTTATGCCTTGACCGTTAATGCATTCAATGGAGGTAACATTTGTTCCTTGAAAAATACTAGGTTCAGTTGTTGATTCTCATGAAGGCTTGGACCAGAGTGACCATATGTTCAAACCCGGCTGGAAAGACATTTTCCGTATGAATCAAACAGAACTTGAGTCGGAGATTAGAAAAGTTAACAGGGATTCAACTCTTGATCCAAGAAGGAAATCTTATTTAATTCAAAATCTGATGACTAGGTTTGTCTTAGTGCTTCTTTTTGCTCTTTTTATCTGTTGCAAACTCTGTAAATGAATAAACAGTAAACCGCATCTGGATGGTTTTTCTATGTACTCAGCCGTTGGATAGCCTCTCAGCAGAAATCACAAGCATCAACAGAAGAAGTTTCTTGTAGTGAAGATGTTGGGTGTTCACCGTCCTTTCGAGATCCAGAGAAGCAGATTTTTGGATGTGAGCACTACAAAAGAAACTGCAAACTTCGTGCAGCTTGCTGTGGAAAATTGTTTACATGCAGATTCTGCCATGATGAAGTGAGCGACCATTCAATGGATAGGTAAATCTTAGCTAGAAATACCTAAGGTTGCAGTTGGGTTCTTTACATCTCATGTCTACCTTTTTTTCAGGAAAGCAACAGTAGAGATGATGTGCATGCGTTGTTTGAAAGTTCAAGCAATTGGACCTAGCTGCACGACACCCTCATGCAATGGATTTTCCATGTCAAAGTACTTTTGCAGTATATGCAAATTCTTTGACGATGACAGGTAGACGAGTCAACTTAGCTTCTTGTTAGAGATTGACATAAATGTGTTGTTTACATCCTATTTTGCGTGTTTATCCATTTGAGTGCATCATTTAAGTGTACTTGAATTACTGGATAAATAATGACATGGTCTTTTTATGTCGGCTAATGACCTTAGATCCATAGTAGTTTTCGACAATATCACCTGATGATACATTTTTTCTCTTACATATGTCATTAAGAAAAATATGATCCCTGCACAATTAATGCATTTTTTGGTTGGTAATACTATATAATATCTGCAGTAAGTTATGCGGGAGTTATTATTTTATGCGTGATAGAAAGAGGAATAAGGATACATGTATTAGCAATATAAATATGAGCTATTTAAAGACCCAGATGCTCTTAAAGTAAGTAATTCCATCCTAACATTCTATGTATTATTATTTACCCAATACCTACATTATTATTCACCGCATAAAAATACCTTCAATATTATTCTATGCATATACAATCATGGCCTTATAATTCCAACAATAACTAGTATGTGAACCAAACTACCTTAACAACACCTTTTCCACTCTCTCGAGCGAAAAGTGAGATTGAATTTTTCATTTCTCTGTGAAACTTGTATGAGAATAGGCAGTTTTCCTCTACTGAATGCCTATTTTCTGTATCAGGCCTGTATATCACTGCCCCTCTTGCAACTTGTGTCGTGTTGGAAATGGCCTCGGAATTGATTTTTATCATTGCATGAAATGCAATTGCTGTCTGGGAATAAGTTTGAAAGAGCACAAGTGCTTGGAGAAGGCTTTAGAAATAAATTGTCCCATCTGCTGTGAGTTTTTGTTTACTTCAAGTGCTACAGTTAGACCTCTGCGTTGTGGGCATTACATGCACTCAGCTTGCTTTCAGGTGAAAAATCAATCTTGTACTTTGTGCTCTGGCGTATATATCCTTGGACTTCTAAAGAATTTTGAGGAACTGATTTATTTGATTTAAGCTCACCAAAATTTGAACCATGCTCTCTCTACCAGGCATATGCTTGCAGTAACTACGTTTGTCCGATATGCAGCAAATCTATGGGTAATATGGCGGTAAGAATTCCTAGTGATCTCCTTTTATATTAATTCTTTTAGGCTGCACTATGCACTTAAAATTTAGTCTGCTGCTGCCTTCAAGCACTTAAGATGGTGAAGCTGCTATGCCAAAAGCGAGAGAAACCCCATCACTCTCTGTACTTTTTTCGCCCCCATGTTACCCTATAAGCAATACTTTCATACAAATTTGTGACGTTTTTTGTTCTTTGTCGAGTGACATGTTGGCCATCACTTTTTGACATTTAATTACACAGCGGTTATGAAGAGTTTCCACCTTTTTAAAATTCAATTATTATTTTTTTGATTTGTGGGAGGTGCCTCTCCTCATTGTATCTATTTCTCCTTTTCCTTGTTCTTGACTTTCCTGGGAGGGTAGTTCAGGTGCCTTCTTGGGGGGTTGTGTTTTCTTTCTTTTTTTTTTTTTTTTTTGGGGGGGTGTTCCTATTCATTTTGCTGTTGCAATTCATAAAGTTGTCCTTGAGAGGGTATATGGTGCTACGGACTTCTCAGAGATTTTGATACTTTAACTGCTCATTTGAGTGGTACCCTAAAGTTTCTATAAATATTACACTTGCCAGGTTTATTTTGGAATGCTGGATGCTCTGCTGGCTAATGAGGTTCTTCCAGAGGAGTACCAGAATCGTTGGCAGGTTTTGCCTAAATTAACTTTTATGTGCATTTTACTTTCATTTCTGCACTTGCATTGGTATCTTTGGTACCACAACGATCAGAAATTGTTGGCTGTTAAAAGATTAAAAATGTTGATGGATGGAGAACACATATAGCATGATTTTTTGGCATGTTGGTGAGATGGAAAACATATATAGCATGATAATTTGGTCATCTTTTCAAGTTATTCCGTCCGTTTACTCCGTTAAACTTAAAAAGGTTTAGGATGAACGGAAGAGACTGGCAACCAGAGGAGTGGTGTTGTTTTCTACTAGAAATGGATGCTGTTGTTGCCGCAGTTGTTATGAGTCTTCTAGCTGTCTCGATCTCGATATCAGCAATGTAGTCATTTTGGAAAAAATCATAAATTATAGTACTTGATTTTGATGATCTGCTTGGTAATTGTTCTAATTAGGACATTATATAATTTGGTACTAGGTGCTATGTTAGAATTTGTATAGCGTGATCATACATTGGGGGTGTATCTGTATTTTTCCTTAATCTTCCATCTAATATGATGATATTTCAAATTCAGGATATTCTTTGCAATGACTGTGAACAGAAAAGCAGGGCGCGCTTCCATTGGTTATATCATAAGTGTGGGTCCTGCGGATCTTACAACACCAGAGTCGTTAAAGCGCCTGCGACATATTCTGGCTGCCCTACCTCAAATGGTGGAGTGAGGAGTGAGGAATGAGCACTCTCTCCACTGTTCGATGAGCTTTTGCACCTGTAAATAATGTATAGAGAACTAAGCTTTTTCCCCTAGTGTCGATATTAGTAGGCAAAGAGGAGGCCATAGTTCTCAGGGAATGGATATTATCATGCAGCTGTTTTGCTAACAGCTATTGGATCTATTACCAGCTTAAGTTCAGCGGTGGCTAGATTTGGCAGGAAATTCATAGGTGGTCTTGAGTTTAACCCTAGAGCCTTAGATTGACTTTAATATACCTAATGTATAGTCTATAAATTTGTTTCAATAGTTATTCGTTTAAAGTTGCAATGATAATTTTTACTCCAAAAGTAATTCTCGCGTTTGTTTCAATTGCTTTAACGACCTCTAATCAATGTTATTCTTTTTACTATTTTTTCATTGTCAAACAAGTTTGCTTCTTTCAGAAGATTTAAAAATGGGTTACATTGTAATAGTATTAAATCATCCGAATATAAACAAGATGCTCGATTACCAAAAACTGGAGGGTGGAAGGAAGGCGAATACCACCTAGGGCTTGTAACATCCGTAGAACTGATTCAGTATCATTCATTTACATGTTATCAATTGACCCCATGGATAAAAAAGTATACATCTGGATTTTATCTTGAGTATGGAGTTGACATCATCTTCAAAGCATCTTATATTTCTTTTTGCTAAGCACCACTGTTTTCAGTTTTACATGGTGCCTCTGCATCGACGAGAACGTACCATGGGGGAATGGGCTTGGAAGATTCAAGAACTGTTGCATCATCATTTGGNCTGTCAGGGGGTCCATAAAGGTTTACTAAGAAGCAGCTTCTTCGCAAAAAGGGTTGTAGACTACTTCCATGTTCACATGCATTTTAGATTGCATTTGAACTCAGAGGATAAAACATGGGAAAAGGAAACACGAGGACTATACATATTAGTGTAGCTAATGTTAGCCAAATGTTACACATTACCAACACCAAAAAAGAATGGATAGACTAAGATCTTCAGGCCTGACTGAGAAGCCATTCCAAACCTGAGAAGCACACTTCCTATGAGTTCTTCTTCATCCTTCTGACACGCTTCTTTCTATTACCAATAGATGGTTCAGCTTCAGGGTCACTAGCAGGAGCAGGGGCAGGGGCAGGAGCTTCTGGAGCAGCTTGATCAGAAAAGTTAAATGCTGTAACTGCCTTCATCCTTCTGACATGCTTCTTTCTATTAACAATAAATGGTTCAGCTGCAGGGTCAGCTACCAGAGCAGGAGCAGGAGGAGCAGAAGCAGGAGCTTCTGGAGCTGCTTGATCAGATAAGTTAAATGTTGTAACTGCATGCCGCTTCACATTTCCCATCATACACTCATACTGCAAAAGTAAGATTGTTGGTCCTCACATCTTGCAAAAGAAACATTACCTAACAATTTATGCCTTTTCTTTTCCAAGAATGCGCTGTGACAGGGAAGGGTTGAAGAACAGCGTATTACAGTTATACGCTCACATGTAACCTCGGAATAGAGCATCTCTCTCCCAAGAATTTGAAACAATAGTCCAACATATTCAACAAAATAATAAAGGTTTTAGCCTGTTGAAAATGGATGGTAGTCATTTAGATAGACGGACTAATACCACAACAGCTTGAGCTTCAGAAAGGAATATATGAGGACTCATAGTAATACATGCCGGACATTAATCTCACACCGCTAAAACACCAAAATCCAAGAAATGCTTAAATTTACTCAGCAAAAGCCAGATATCTGAAAGGATCAGATGACAATGAAATATGACTTGTCTCCTTTCAACAAAGGGTAGAAAAACACTGCTATAAATCAGTATATCATATCCTAAAAGGAAAAGCTACAGTCATACCACATCCCATCTAGTAATGGAAATGTGCACATTACAAGCCATAACGGCTAATCTTCAGATAGTAGAACTAGCCAACATTACTGTTTTGCAATAACAAGCTAAGAAAGGATTTGAACAATTTCCAAGTTCCAACCAGTGTTTTAAAAGGCGTGGGCGCAAGGCGAGGCATTTTACATATGACTTAGCGAGGCGTAAGCCCCATAGGTATTTAATTTTTAATATTTTATAAAATAATATAATTATAGTANGTATATATATATGTATGTATATGTGTGTGTGTTCCATCCCCACAAAAATCTAGTCAATTCAATCTATTATACGCCACTTAGAAGCACAAGTAACTTGAGTCGAAAAGAATAAAGTTTTCTACGTGGAGGAACAAAAAGGATGACTAACCTGCAATTTGAACTTTAAACTTGCTGCTATGAAGGAGAATAGAGTTCTCTTTGTATTTGTAAAAAAAATTTGAATATTCATTGCTTTTGGGAGATATTAGCATGCCAGCGGACAAGATAAAGAATTGAGAAAGACCATGAATTACGGCTTCAATCAATAAAAAAGGTCTCGACTTTTAAATTTAATACATTTCAGTTCCCTTTTAAATAATTAGTAAGCTGAATTTTGAGAATTTGGGTATTATACAAAGGACTTATTCAACAAATTTTGTTTTAATTTGAAAAAGTCTGGGGCTTGCGCCTCACTAAAAAAACGCGCCTCAAACGCCCGGGCGTACACCCCGAATTGCTGGGCATACGCCTCTTGAGACTTTCGCCCCGAACGCGCATACGCTCCGAATTGCTGGGCATACGCCTCTTGAGACTTTTCCCCCACACCATCTTCTCAGAGCGTTTTTGGTGCACCTCGCCCCGGAAACGCCTTTTAAAACACTGGTTCCAACCACGAGGAGTTGAGACAGAAAGATCATACATATAATTGTGATGAAACCAGTAATATATTCAATAGGGAAATTGAAAATCCAAGAGCAAAGTAAGAAGGTCAGATTTGAGAAAGCATGCAACAAGCAATTATTTCAAACAACTAGGTCAATAAGATCAAGACGGAACTATGACACCCGCTATCTGTTAAATGTTATTCTAGAAGTTTCACCGAAAATCTTAGTATGCACAAGTCAGCCTTTTACTAAAACACTAATACTGGTAGTATGCCAAACCAAGAAAAGCAATGGTCATTAACAAGGTGAGAGTAATTTTAACCCTGGAAATAAACAGTGTAAGTAAGAACATCTAGGATGTGGAAATATCACTTACTGCATCAAGTTTACCACGCAAGTAGCTGGACTCACTCACTGAGTCAACTTTGCCGCGCAAGTAACTCAAATCCAATGCTAGTTTGAAGTTTTGCTCCCTCAAAGCCTCATTACTGTCACCAGTCAACAAGGAAATTTCTACACCATTAACCTGTGAATATGAATGAGAAAACATCAAAAGATCAAACTTTATAGCCTTTTTTTAAACAGAGTAAATATCAGCTTGAGAATATGAATAGGGCATTTCTAGTAAGTCAACTAGTCAAGTCAAGGTACAAAAAGCAGAATGTTCACGGCCTGTTCATTAAACGAAATAAACGGAATAAATAAAGAAAACTTTGCTACGGTCTAAAGAATAGTAATAACCATTTAAATAACAATATTAAAGCGCCGTGAAAGACTTACGGGTCGTTTGGTTTAAATACGGCTTATGCCGGGATAAGTTATGCTGGGATTATTTTTTATCTATTGTTTGGTATGTTGTATTAAATATAACAATTGCATAATTTGCAAGAAGAATGTATAAGTGTTAGTATTTTAGTATTTTAATATTAAAATAAAATATGTCATAACTCTCACTACTCCATAATGTAAAAAATAGTCATAACTCCCACTACTCCATGATGTAGAAAATGGCCATAACTTTTTTGTAACTCTTCTCCCCTGTTCTACCTCTAATTACACACTAATTATCCCATGTTCTCCATGATTTCATAACTTACTACCCCACTTTCTTCCAATTTAATTCAAGGAAGAATTTCTACACCTATAAATAGGAGTCTTTATTCCATAATGTGGTACGTGAAAAATAATTGAGAGTGTTTCAATAAAGTGAGGTTAAAGTTGTGAAAAATAAGAAGAGAGTTTTTACTATTTTGAAGGAAGGTGTTCATCTTGGTGGAGCTTTGGACTCAACAACTTGTCCAAAGTTTGTTCGAGTCATACGACGTGATCGGGCTGTTGTATCTTGGGGGAGACAAGTCAAGAGGATTACTGCTGGACAAGTGAAGACTTTGCTGCAGTGGGCTTGAATCTCCTTAAAGAGAGCGAGATATCCGCGCCTCAGCCTGAAGATATTTTATTTTCTTCATTTTAGTTTTCAACTGTAATTATATTTTTCACCAACAATTTTAAGGAGATTCAAATGGCTACAGTTGAAAAATCCGCGGATATCAAGGTGGGAGATCTCAACAAGCCATTCCGTTTCAATGGTACTCATTTCAAGAGATGGAAGGGTAAAATATTTTTTTACTTGAGTCTTCTCAATGTTTCTTACGTTTTAACTGAGAAGAATCCAAGCAAAGTAGACAACTCCTCCATGAATGATGATGAGCTAATTGCCTTTCAAGAAAAAATTGAAAAATATAGCGATGATCATACAAGTGTCGGTATTATCTTCCTAATTGTCTATCTGATAATTTTTATAATTATTATGATAGAACTTACTCTACTGCAAAGAAAATTTGGAAAGCATTGCAGGGTAAGTATGATACCGAGGAGGCAGGCATATTTTTTCGTTTTCAAATGGTGGACAATAAATCTGTAGTAGACCAAGTTAAAGACTTCATAATGATCGTTGGAGAGCTCAGGTTCGAGGATATTAAAATTGGAGACAATCTTATTGTTTGTGACATAATAGATAAACTACCACCTTCTTGGAGGGAATTTCAAAAAACTATACGCCACAAACAAAAGAAAACTTCACTTGAGACGTTGATAATGCGGATTCGGATGGAAGAAGAGGCAAGAGGCCAAGATGCACTTATGCAATCGGAAGAGAGCACTCTACAACCCGTCACTACAAAGGTAAATTTAATTACTTCAAATAATATTACTCCTGAAACTCACAAAAATACTTATTTGAAGCCGAAGAAGAAGACTTTTAAGAAAAATTATGGTAGACCTCTCAAGAAGAATAATGGTTCAAACAACCAAGCACGGAATCAATAAGTTCAAATTGTGAAACCATGCTTTATCTGTGACAAGAGTGGGCATATTGCTCGATTTTGCAAATTTCGGAAACGTGGTCCTACACCACAGGCAAACGTTACCGAAGAGCCACTTGTGGCGGTGATAACAGACATTAACATGGTAGAAAATGGGTGATGGATGGTGGGCTGATTCTGGAGCAAACCGTCATGTTTGCTATGATAGAGATTGGTTTAAAGTGTATACTCCATTTGAGGAGCCCAAAACCATCATGCTTAGTGATTCTCACACAACCCAAGTACTTGGAAAGGGAGAGGTCGAGTTGAAGTTTACTGCAGGAAGAGTATTAACGTTGAAAGACGTACTTTACTCCTTCAATGAAAAAAATTTGATGTCTAGTTTTCTTCTTGACAATGCAGGCTTCAAACAAATTATTGAGAGTGATCAATATGTAATAGTGAAAAAGGGTATTTTTGTGGGTAAGGGGTATGTATGTAATGGGATGTTTAAGTTGGATGTTGAGATGAATAAAACTTCTTCTAGTTCTGTTTATATGCCTTCTTCTACTAATTTTTGGCATGCTCGTTTGTGTCATATTAATAATCGTTATGTGGGAATCATGAGTAGTTTAGGATTAATCCCAATGATTAAAAAGAATTTTAAAAAATGTGAGGCTTGTAGTAAAGCTAAAATAACTAAAAGGCCTCATCTTCAAGTTGAAAGAAAAACTGAATTGTTAGAATTAGTTCACACTGATATTTGTGAACTTGGAGGAATTTTAACTCGTGGAGGAAATAGATAATATCACTTTTATTGATGATTTCTCTAAGTACACATATGTTTACTTGATGAAAAATAAAAATGATGCATTTGAAATGTTAAAAATTATCTCTATGAGGTTGAAAATCAATTCGGTAGAAAAATAAAAAGAATTAGAAGTGATAGAGGCCGTGAATATGAGTCTAATGAATTTAATTCTTTTGTTAGATCATTGAGAATAATTCATGAAACTACTTCACCTTATTCTCCTGCATCAAATGGCGTGGCTGAAAGAAAAAATAGAACTTTGGTAGAGTCAACTAATGTCATGCTTATTGAGTCAAATGCACCTTTAAATTTGTCGCGTGAAGCTATTTTGACTGCATGTTATGTGTTGAATAGGGTTCCTCATAAGAAAACAAAATTGACACCATTTGAGTTGTGGAAAAATCACAAGCCAAATTTGGGTTATTTGAGAGTTTGGGGTTGTTTATACTAGGTTAGGCTAACGGATCCTAAAATTGGTAAAAAAGTTACCACTTGTGCTTTTCTTGGTTATGCTTCTAATAGTACAGCCTATAAATTTTTAAATCTTGAAGAGAATATTATTATAGAATCAGGTGGTGCTATTTTTCTTGAAAATAAATTTCCATTTGAGTCTAAAAATAGTGGGGGTCAAAGAGATAAATATAATTTTTTGTCTCTGCCTAGTTCTTTTACTTCAATTTTGCAAAATGAAGAAAATAATGCTTTTGAGTTGAGAAGAAGTAAAATAGCTAGAATAGAAAAAGATTTTGGTCCTGATTTTTATGTTTTTAATATTGAAAATGACCCTCTTACTTTACAAGAAGCTTTATTGTCACCTGATGCTATTTTTTGGAAAGAGGCTGTAAATGATGAAATGGAGTCACTAATTTCTAATAAAACTTGGAAGTTGGTTGATTTACCATCACGTTGTAAAACAATTGGGTGCAAATGGGTCCTAAGAAAAAAATTAAAACCGGATGGATCTGTTAATAAGTATAAAGCTAGGTTAGTTGCTAAAGGTTTTAAGCAACTAGATTGCCTAGAATTTTTTGATACTTTTTCTCCGGTAACTAGAATTACATCTATTAGACTTTTAATTGCAACTTCTGCAATATTGATTTGCATATTTATCAAATGGATGTAAAAATTGCTTTTTTAAATGGGGATCTAAATGAAGAAATTTATATGGATCAACCTGAGGGTTTTATAGAAGCAGGCCAAGAAAGTAAAATGTGTAAACTTACTAAATCCCTATATGGCTTGAAACAGGCACCTAAGCAATGGCATGAAAAGTTTGGTTGCATGATTGAAAATGGTTTTAAATCAAATAAGTGTGATAAGTGCACCTATCTTAAGTCTTGAAATAATTCACGTGTAATTGTTTGCCTCTATGTCGATGATTTGTTAATATTTGGCTCTAACATAAATGTTATTGGAGAAACTAAAAGCATGCTTAGTAGCCATTTTGACATGAAAGATTTGGGTGAGGCAAATTTCATTCTTGGAATGAAAATTACTAGAACATGTGATGGAATTTTCCTTGACCAGTCACATTATGTTGAGAAAATTTTGAAAAAATATAATTTATTGATTGCAAGCATGTTGTAACCTTTTTTGATTCAAGTGTTCACTTATTTTCTGTACAAAATGACAATGATGTGATAAATCAAAAGTAATATGCTAGCTTAATCGGAAGCTTGAGATATGTGACTGATTGTACTTGGCCTGATATTGCATATGGAGTAGGAGTACTTAGCAGGTTTACAAGTAAGCCAAGTAGTGAACATTGGCATGTCATAACAAGAGTTATGAGGTATTTACTTGGTACAAAAACCTATTGCTTATTTTATAAAAAATATCCAGCTGTATTCGAAGGCTTTTCTAATGTAGATTGGAACAGTTTATCTGGTGATTCATGTTCTACTTCAGGTTATATTTTTACTTTGGAAGGTGGTGTTATTTGTTGGAAATCGAAAAAGCAAACAATAATTGCTAACTCTACCATGGAGGTTGAGCTAATTGCTTTAGCTTCAACTAGTGAGGAAGCGAATTGGTTAAGAGATTTATTATTTCAAATTCCTTATTTTGAAAAAACCAATTCCTCCTATTTTGATTCATTGTGATAGCACTGCATGTTATTAGTAGAGTACAAAACCGTTATTACAACGGTAAATTCAGACCTATAAGGAGAAAACATAGTACTATGAGATCATATTTGACAAGTGGTACCATTAATGTTGATTATGTTAAATCTTGTGATAATCTTGCAGATCCATTGACTAAGGCCTTAGCAAGAGAAAGGGTCTGGAGCACATCGACGGGGATGGGGTTGAAGCCCACAAGCTCATAAATCATATAAGAGGAAACCCAACCTGGGGACTAGAGATTCTATAACCAGGTTCAATGGGAAGAATGAATCATTGATGGCTTGGTTTGAAATGCACTGTTTTTTATTGTTCCATCCCTATGGTGTGAGTGCATTTATCCTGTAATGATTTGCGAGGTTGAGTTTTATTAACTCTTAAAGAAAATTTATAGCTCGTATGAGTGGGGTGTTAGAGTTACAGGAGCACCCTTGACAGATTTCACCTATGTGAGTGTGGAAGTAGGTCGCTTCTTATGAGAATTGGGCTTGTTCTCAAAAACACTCATGAAAATCGGGATAGCACAAGGCCGTAATGTGCTGGCTAATAAAGCTCATGTCAACACCTTGATTGTTATGTGTAAGCAGTGATAATTTATTTTCCTCAAGCAGTCATAGTTCAGGTCTGAGACCACTACTGACTCTGGAGTAAAGATCGTTGTTTTGCTAAGTGGAGGTTCAATGCAGAGCACACCTTCATTATGCATAATAGTTTCCTTCAACTAGTAAACTCTCTTATATATTTTAATATTAAAATGAGTGGGGGAATGTTAGTATTTTAGCATTTTAATATTAAAATAAAATATGTCATAACTCCCACTACTCCATAATGTAGAAAATAGCCATAACTTACATAACTCCCACTATCCATGATGTAGAAAATGGCCATAACTTTTTTGTAACTCTTCTCCCATGTTCTACCTCTATACACACTAATTATCCCATGTTCTCCATGATTTCATAACTTACTACCCCACTTTCTTCCAATTTAATTCAAGGAAGAATTTCTACACCTATAAATAGGAGTCTTTCTTCCATAATGTGGTATGTGAAAAATAATTGAGAGTGTTTCAATAAAGTGAGGTTAAAGTTGTGAAAAAGAAGAAGAGAGTTTTTACTTTTTTGAAGGAAGGTGTTCATCTTGGTGGAGCTTTGGACTCAACAACTTGTCCAGAGTTTGTTCGAGTCATACGACGTGATCGGGCTGTTGTATTTTGGGGGAGACAAGTCAAGAGGATTACTGCTGGACAAGTGAAGACTTTGCTGCAGTGGGCTTGAATCTCCTTAAAGAGAGCGAGATATCCGCGCCTCAGCCTGAAGATATTTTATTTTCTTCATTTTAGTTTTCAACTGTAATTGTATTTTCACCAACAATAAGTTATACTGGTGCTAATTACCCAACCTCTATAAGGTATAAGTTATCCCGGTGTTAATTTTAATCCTGAGATAACTTATACCTGGTTTGCTAACCAAACAAAGTATTAAGATGGTACTCCTTCCGTTTCATATTACATGAGGTACTTTCCTTTTTAGTCTGTTCCAAAACAAATGACACATTTCTAAATTTGGAAATAATTCAACTTTAAACTCTTTCATTTTACCCATTTACCCCTTAATGAGAAGCTTTTATAGTCACACAAATGTCATGGCCGCACAAACTTTTTACTCCTTGAGCTTTTAAAACCACAAATTTCAAAAGTCTTTTTTGTTAAACTTCGTGCCGAGTCAAACTACCTCGTTTAATATGAAACGAAGGGAGTATTAAGTTTTTATACCGGCACTCATACCAAACGACCCCTTAAACTTTATGCACAATACTTATAGCCCGTTTGGCTTAGCTAATTTAGAGTAGCCGATAAGCATTAGGTGCTGAAAAGCACTTTTTAAGTGCTAAAACTGATTTAAAAAATAAGCAGTTACGTGTTTGGATAAAAGTGCTGAAATTAATAATATGCAACTGAAGAACTGGGTATACGAAGAGTTTGTTTTAAAAAGAAGTATTTTAGGGATAAAATAATAAATATTTTGGTCAAACTTAAAGTGCTTATAAGCTGAAATTTGATAAGTTGGGGTAGACAAACTTATGGCTTTTGGCTTATAAGCACTGAACTTATAAACACTTTTAATTTTACCAAATGCGCAGATAAGCCAAAAAGTGCTTATAAAGTAATTTGACGAGCTTATAAGCTTAGCCAAACACTACAACAACAACAACAACAACCCAGTGTAATCCCACAAGTGGGGTCTGGGGAGGGTAATAAGTACGCAGACCTTACCTATACTCGAGGGGCAGAGAGGCTGTTTCCAGGAGACCCTCGGCTCAAAGAGGCAACAAGAGACACTATATTAGTACTATCAATAGACTCATAATAAAACAACATAAAATACCATTAAATCCATAACATAACATAAATACCATAAAAACAAAGTAACAGCAATATAAGAGATACACAACTGGCTAGTCTCACTCTAGTACGCTGTAAAAAAGACATCACAATTTCCCTAACATACAACCTTAATGCTCGATCTCCACAATTCCCTGTTTAGGGCCATGTCCTNATTTTATAACATACTCTAATTATTACTCTATTTTTTTACATCAAAAAGAATATTCTATTTTATATTTTTTTTCTCTTTAATATTATATTATTATCTTTTAATTTATTTTCTTATTTCTATTAAAAAAAATCGATCTTTTTTTCTTTTTTACATATTTATCACATATAATTTATATTCCTTTCTTATATAATCATTTACTATAAAATTACTTTATATCATAAATTTTTAGATAATATAATTTGTAAGCAAATATTATAAATTATACATATATTAACGGATAATTCAAATAAAAGCAATCATTGAGATACAAGATAATTAAATATATATTACATTATGGTAAAATTATGATTAAATACTACATAAATATTCAACTTCCACCTTTAGTATACTCCCTTAAATGTTCTATGAATTTAAATTTTAACAACATCTAATATTTTATATTTGCATCATTCATTTTTTGAGATGATTATATAATTTTTTGTACAATTATAACTTATAATAAAATTAACTTACAATTTTACATAAAAATAATAAATGCACGTAAATTAATTTATCAAAATTATACACCAAAGTTAAGATGTACAATTAGTATTATAAAGATATTACATAAATATAATTAGGTATTGCAAGAGGTGACCTATGACTGGTTCCTGCATTTTATACTACTTGTATGCAAGTGGGACATCAATGTAATGCAGGAGAGCAAAAAATCACTAAGGACAGTACAAGGAAGCAGAAGCAGAAACAAGAGTGGCAGCCCAAGGTGATTCAAAATGAAAAAGGAAATCAGCAGAAGGTAGAGGCAAACAAAGACAAGAAAATAGCTAGTTACAATGAGACACAAGGAAACAATGCAGGACCAAGCAAAGAAGAGGAACAAGCATGGAAGAAAGTTACTGGGAAATCAGTAGCTAAAAGCAGGGAGAAGCCAAAGAATGAAACTATCAGCATGATAAATGGTTTCAATGTTTTGGCAGAGACTGGTTTGCAGCTAGCATACAACAGAGCAATAGATGAAGGCACAAGCAAACAGAGGAGCAATGAAGAAGTAGGAGCAGGGGATCAAAACCTATTCATCCTAGTATGATTCTAGCTACATGGAACATAATGGGATTGAACAAGGTCCCTAGACAAAAAGAGATCAAGATGTTTACTAAAAGTAATAGAATAAGTATAATTGCAATACTAGAGCACAAAATAAAGAAGCAGAATGATACAAAAGTAATAAGGAGAATCACTCCAAGCTGGAAATGGTTAGCCAACTATGAGTACAGCGATAGAGGAAGAATTTGGGTACTGTGGGATTCTAATGAAGTGGAATGCAGAGAGCTGGGGAAATCTGACCAATACATTCATACTGAAGTTTACCTAAAAGGTATGAATCTGAGATTTACTTTTACTGCAGTGTATGGATTACATACAACTGAAGATAGAAGAAGGCTTTGGAATGAATTGAATGGGTGGAGCAATATACAACAAGGAGCATGGTTGATAATGGGGGACTATAATACAATTAGAGGACAAGAGGATAGACCAGTTGGCAAACCTGTACAAGAGGCTGAAGTGAGGGATCTCAATGACTTTATGAAGCAAAATGGCCTAACAGAAATGAGAACTATTGGAAGGAGATTCACATGGACCAATGAACATACTTAGAGCAGAATGGATAGAGCTATAATATGATGTATGGATGCTACAAATGCCACAACTAGAAGTAAGAGTAATGGATCCAGGATGTTTAGACCACTCTCCTTTGAGTATCAAGTTTGAAGATAATGAAGAAAGGGAATCAAGGCCTTTCAAGTTTCTTAACCATTTAGTTGAACATAAGGAATTTCTTACAAGAGTAAAGGAACCATGGCAAAAGGGAAATGGGGAAAACAAAATGAAAGATGTATGGTGCAAGTTAAAGAGGGTGAAACATGCAATGAAGGAACTTAATAAAGCTGAGTATAATGAAGTAAATAAGAAGATAAATAGATGCAGACATCAACTTACAGAACTGCAAGAGCAAATGAAGGACCCTGGGCAAAAGGAATATATGATTATGGTAGAAAAAGATATGAAGGCTCAACTAGAGAAATGGCTGGAGGTAGAAGAAAGTATTATGAAACAGAAATCCAAAGTGAATTGGCTGAAATTAGGGGATGGTAACACAACTTATTTTCATGCAAGCATGAAGAATAGATGCTGCCAGAATAAAATAAAGAGCCTAACAAAGGCTAATGAAGTTGTAGTACAATCCAAACAAGAGACTGAAGAGGAAGTACTTGGGTTTTATAAACAACTACTGGGATCATCAGATGGAATTGTGCCAACTATAAATCCGGTAGTGATGAGAGATGGAACCCTGGTGAACAGACAACAACAACTTCAATTGATGAAAGATGTATCTAAAGAGGAAGTATATAATGCACTGCTGGGAATTGGAGACAACAAAGCCCCTGGCTATGGTGAGTTCAATGCTTTATTCTATAAGAAGGCTTGGCCTATGATTGGTGAGGAAGTGACAGAGGCAGTAATGGATTTCTTCATAAACTCTGAGCTCTATCAACCTATTAATTGTACAACAGCGACTCTTGTACCAAAGGTGAATGATCCTACTAGTATTAGTGAGTACAGACCAATATCATGTTGTACTATACTATATAAAATAATCTCAAAGGTGATCACAAACAGACTGCAGGGGATAATAGATGATATAGTAGATAGAAACCAGTCTGCCTTTGTGCCAAGGAGGCGAATAAATGATAATATCATACTCAGTCATGAATTAGTCAAAGGGTATCGCAGGAAGGGTGTGTCACCAAGATGCATGATGAAGATTGATATGAAGAAGGCTTATGACTCTATTGACTGGGATTATATATGTAACGACCCGACCGGTCGTTTTGAGCTCCAGTGCGTCATTCAGCAGTTTGAGGCCATGAACGGCTTCATCTCGGGTATATTGACTTGTGTGTATGGTCAGAATTAAAATTTAGGAAGTTTGGAGTCAAATCTAAATGGAAATTCTCATTTTGAAAGCTTAAAATTGAAGAAATGAACTAGGATTGGAATTTTGAGTAAACGACCTCGGAATTGGGATCTGAAGGTTCTAACAGGTTTGTATAATGATTTTGGACTTGGGCGTATGCCCGTATCGGGTTTTGGATAACCCGGGAGCGTTTTGGCGCCTATTGTGGAAGATAGCATTT